CCCCCCCCCCGAATTTTCGGGTTTCGTTTTTTTCTTTAACACGTTATGTTGAATCACCCCCCTTCTGTTTGTTCTTGGATTCTGCAGATGGTGAAACTTACCATGAAAGATCTCCAGAAAATCTGTCCTGAAATCATTCAAAACGCGCAGATTTCGGAGATAAAATGCGCAGACGCTGATAAGGTAAGCGAATGTAAGCGAATACACGATTTTACACGTCTTGAGTTTCGTAATCTTGAAATGGAAAAGTGATCTATAACAGGTTCTTGATCACTTCTACAATGCTTTGAAATCCATTGGAGATTCTTGGATCGATGATCCAGAATGGAATGCCAAATCAAAGTACAGGAGTAGCAGCATCGGGAAGAATCAATCAGATCGTCTCGGTAACGTTTTATTTAGCGTTTCAGATTCATTGATCTTCGAATTCCTCGTAACGAGCCTCTAAATCGACGTTTTTTCGTGCAGTGGAGAAGGTCTTGGCGACATTAGATGGACTGATAAAGATGACGAAGGAAAGGTTCGATATGATGGAGATCGAAGATGAGGATGAGAAGAAAACACCGCGAGTCTTAACTCCATCCAGCTCGTTCTCAGAGACCAGGAGCTCGTTCTGCGGGTCCCCTATGACGCCAAGATCAGTTCTTCCAGAGTCGATGATGGGTTCTCCGAGCAAAAATGGTGACTTTATGAGCTCTGCTTCACATCTTCTTTGGAACATGAGAGTTCAAGCGCTCGAAAAGCTTAGCCCTATCGACGTGAAAAGGCTCGCAATCCATATTCTGTCACAGAAAGAGGCTCTGGAAGATTCGACCGGCGATTTTGAGAGTGTAGAAGTGAAAGGGAAGAATGAAAGAGAGAGCATTAGCCCGGAACCAAGAACAGAGGATACAAAACAAAATGCAGAAGATACTGATTCTGGTGATAAAGATGACATGAAAATTGATGATAAACCAGTTTCAGAAGCTTCAGCATTGAGTTCAAATGCTGAAATCGAACAAAATGATACAGAAAAAATCGTGTTCTTACCGGCGTTTACACTATCAATGGCGGTAGCTCCTCCACCACCACCACCTCTTCCTCCACTTGCCCCTATAAAGACTACTTCTTCTTCTTCGCCTGCTTCACCTCTTCTCCCATCACCTCCACCTTCAATTCCATGCTCTAATGTAACAGTTCCTCCTCCTCCTCCTCCAGCAAAGATTTCGATGGCGGTACTTGTATCACCTCCTCCTCCTCCTCCAAGATTTTCATCCATGGCAGCAACATATATACCTCCTCCTCCTCCTCCTCCTCCTACAGTGTCAGTGCTACTGTCGCCATTGATAAAACCTTCAACAATCTCTACTTCTCTTCCACCACCACCTCCTCCTCCTCCACCTCCAGAGACTGCAGCTGTAGTAGCAGCACCACCCCCTCCTCCTCCACTTCCAGGGACTGCAGCTGCAGTAGCAGTACCACCCCCTCCGCCTCCTCCAATGGCTATGGCGAAAGGAGCAGCTCCTCCTCCACCGCCACCTCCAAGGGCTCTGGGTAATGGAGCGGCACCTCCGCCGCCGCCACCTCGGATGGGTACCACGGCAGCCGGTCCTCCGCCGCCACCTGGCGGTGCGGGCCATAGCTTGCGGCCCAAGAAAGCGGCGACCAAGCTGAAAAGGTCGAGCCACATTGGGAGCCTGTACAGACTCCTCAAGGGTAAAGTAGAAGGGCGTGACACTGAAGCAAAGTCTGGCGGCGGCGGTGGAAGAAAGAGCGGTGGAGTTTCGAGCGCTCAATCTGGTGGAAAGTCAATGGCTGATGCTCTTGCTGAGATGACAAAGAGGTAAAAAAAATTCATATTACACACTGAAAGTTTCACTGAAAAAAAACTCGAAAAGGGTTCTGATTCAAGCTTGTGGAAAAAAAAAAAAACAGGTCATCCTATTTTCAGCAGATAGAAGAAGATGTCCAGAAGTACATGAAATCAATCAATGAGCTGAAAGCTGAAATCTCAAAGTTTCAGACAAAGGACATGACAGAGCTGTTGAACTTCCACCGCCGAGTTGAATCCGTTCTCGAGAAACTGACTGATGAAACACAGGTCAGTAACATAAAACCGACTTAACTTGCAGCTTACCATATGTTCGTACTGAATCTTGGCTGTCTGAAAATGTTTTTTCTTTTACTGATCACAGGTTCTTGCGAGATGCGAAGGGTTCCCACAGAAGAAGCTCGAAGCCATGAGAATGGCAGTTGCATTGTTCTCAAAGCTTCATGGTATCATCACAGAACTTCAGAGCTGGAAGATAGAGCCTCCAGTGAATCAGCTCCTCGACAAAGTCGATCGTTACTTCTCAAAGGTATAATTGATGATTACTTCTTCTTCTTCTTCATGTATCTTTCTTCTTGTCGAGTGATTTAACGGTACGAAAACGAATGAACAAACAGATCAAAGGAGATATCGATGCATTGGACAGAACCAAAGACGAAGAGGCCAAGAAGTTTCAGAGCCATAACATCCACTTCGACTTCAATATCCTTCTGCAGATCAAAGAAGCCATGGTTGATATCTCCTCCAACTGCATGGAATTAGCACTGAAGGTATACTACCAGAAAAAAAAAAAAAATCGAATTCACGTAAAAAACCGAACCCTTTTTCCTGAAATTTCGAATCGAACTTGCAGGAGAAGCGAGAGGCGAAGGGAATGGACTCACCAGAAGCGAAAACGAACGCAAAGAAGACGACGGTGAGCTGCGCGAAAACGCTGTGGAGGGCATTCCAGTTTGCGTTCAAAGTCTACACATTTGCAGGAGGACACGACGATCGAGCTGACCATCTGACAAGAGAGTTGGCTCACGAGATCCAAACTGATTCTCAGACACATCCCTGATCTGCTTCTCTCTCTCTCTTTCTCTCTCTCTCTCCCCCTTGAGAGAATCATTACATATCTTTGGTATGTTACGTACGACGAGGGAAAGATTGATATAATATATGAAGAGACTTACGTATGTATAACTTAACATTATCGTTTGAGTTTGTAATTTTGATGGCAACCAAAAAAAAAAGAAGAAAAAAAAATAGGGATATTTAGAGGTTGTTCCCGGGAGCTCCGACATGCAGAGACTCTTATGAGGAAAAACAAAAACTAAAGACTTTGAGTCAACGTCTTTATGTTTCAAAACAATATGCATGATTTGGTTTTATATTGTTATTATCATTATTATAATTATAAAACGGTTTTTGCTTTGTAATAATTATACAAAGTTTTGTCTGTCTATATCTTTCCCTCTATAACTATATATTTATGTACGTATTTATAAATATCTATTTAACCAAGCTTTCTGTTGAATGCGAGAAAATGATTTAAAATACTGAATTTGAGAGAAAATAACAAAGTTTTCAAGACGGACGTAATTATTTTAAATCCGATCTTCTTTCAAGTGTTTGTTTTTTTTTTTTTTTGAAAGATGTATAATTATAAATGGTGAACCATCACCATTGAAAACGTTGTTTGTTTTGTAATTTTTTCTCATCAGAATTCATATTTATTTATTTTTAACAAGAATTCATATTCGTTTTTTGGACATTTTTCCTTATCACAAGTTTTCCCTAACTAAAATGAAATATTTAGTTATTTAATTTCTAACATTCTATATAAGATCAATATATGAGTATATGGACATTCACATATTTTAAAAATGTAATGAAAAGGGTCCAAAAAATGGGTTTTTTTCTCCAGAAACAAGAATTAATAACACCAATATCTCTATAGAATTAAGGATCTATTTGAAAGATAAATAATTCTAACTTTTTCAGTTTGGATTATAATTACAACACAATAAAAGCCTTCCATGTGATAATATCCCTCACGTTCTTAAAAGCAAGCAAGAAGGTCAAAAGCTTGTGACTGCAGGAATTAGTTTTCTTTTGCGTGTCATCTTTGTATCTGTTTTTTTTTAATGGGACGGCTTTTTGACAGGTGACCCTTTACAAAGTTTACACCTTTACTCTTCACCGCATCATTTGCCTTCTGTGTGTAATTATTAAAAGTTTCGAAGAAGAAGAAAAACTTCGGCGGCTATGGCGTCTGCTTTGGTTCTGCTTTTGGTGTTCGTGTTTGATCTCATAGCTTTTGCTCTCGCTGTTGCTGCAGAGCAACGAAGAACCACCGTAAGTCTCTCTCTCTCTCTCTCTCTCTCTCTCTCTCTCTCTCTCTACATATATATATATATGCCTCCCACCGATTTTTTCTGGGGTTTTTTGTTTCGATTGTTCTGTAATTGTTGAATTTGATTTGATTTTGCGTTTTGTCATTTCTGGGTTTTCTCATTGTTCATCGTTTTGTTGCCCTGACTTGGTAAATCGTCAGTTGTGGTTCTTCTCTCGTATGAACATTATGCTGCCTTGTTACCTCTTTTTCTATTCTTCTGTAATTTCTCGAACCTTTTCGCTCGAGTTTGATTCCTCGTTTATTGGGTTTTCTCAGTTTTACCTGTTCGTGGATATGTCGTGGAAAGACAATAAGAGGAACATGCCACTGTATCTGTTGAACAAGATTCATTAAAGCAGGGTTCTTCTTGGGAAAATCTAACTAATATCCCCTCAATCTTCATAGAAACTAGACAATTCACTTGGGAAATTAGGAAATTAGATATCCATAGTTGTGGTTCATAGGCTTGTTTAGGCTTTATGCTATGTTGATAAAGAACAGTCATAGTTGTAGGAAGATTGTGATCTCAAGATCATGTAGTGTTCTTCTTCTTCTTCTTCTCCTGTCTTGTGATTCTGTTCTTGTTGTGGAGATGTTGCTTTTCAGTGGCGAGTTGTTAAAGAAGGAGAATCGGATTATTGTGAGTACGATAAGGATATAGCCACGGGCCTTGGAGTGGGCGCTTTCCTGATCTTATTGGCGAGTCAGCTCATTATAATGGGCGTGAGCCGATGCTTGTGCTGTGGAAGGGCATTGACACCGAGTGGGTCGAGATCCTGGGCAATTGTTCTTTTCATCACTGCCTGGTACTCTCTTTCCC